TCTTTTTTTTTTTTTCTTTTTTGGGGGCCTTAATTTAATAGCTCTGTGATTCTCATACAGAAGGTTTTGAAGCAGATATAGCTCTAGTATCTGTAGCTTTAGCAATATAAGTATTCTGACTTTCATATCATTCATTTAAGAGTCTTTTCCCTCCTGAGAACACACTGTGTGGAGCCATGTACCAGGAACTGGGAACAAACAGGCACCTGTGCTTCGTAGGAACTTATAGGCATGCAAGTGGGGACACAGACATTCAAAGAATAATTGCACTCATCCAGGTATGACTAAAGGTATATAATCAGAGGACTCTGTGAGATGATGTAATAAAGGAAGCTGACCAGGTCTGGGAGTTTGCAGGCTTCCTCCTTGTGGTGAGACCTAAAGGGTAAGGAAGAGAAAGCAAGGGGCTGCTGCTACAGGGGGAGTGTGTGTATTAGCACCACACGGTCCAGGAACTGAAGGAAGTGCCCGCAAATGTGACTTGACGCGAGGCAAGAGGGAGGCAGCACCCGATCCCACAGGCCCTGCAGGTCGAAGGTGGATCATGCTCTTTACTCCATGAGTTAGAAAAAGCATGTGGACTGGTTCCTGGTACAGCATAAATGTTGATTATGATATTATTATTCTTTACTTTAAAAACTGTATTATTAAATAATATTAAATCTTACTATTCATTTTAAGAGCAAAGGGAAGCCACTCAAGGATTTGGAGCAGGGGTATGACATATGACAGCCAAATGTACATTTTATACCTAACTCTGGCCACTGTATAGAAAGACTGGAGAGAGCAGGTTGGTGCAAGCAGCTGTGAGAAGCCTAGAAACCAGTGTAGCTATTTAACAGACAGGATATCAGAGCAGACACTGTGGCTCATCCGTAGCCTGGAGCTTGGTTTTGCCTGTAGCCCATGACTTCAGAGGTATATAACTTGGAGGGTCTCTAAGTCACGTGAGATTGTATACGCGTAAAATTACTTTTTCAGAAGTTGTCGTCTATCCAATTTGGAATGTTCAGTGGAGCCAACTGCTGAATCCAGTGCTTGGTCTGTTTTGGAAGACATTCACTATTGACTATTAAATAGCTTGGAGAATTCATCAGGAAGGCCAAGTTTCAGAAAAGGCCCCAAAGCCACTACAGAATGGGCCCCCACCAGAGCAGCTGCTTCTGCCTCAGTGAGGCAGCTGAGGAGGGAGGAAGCTACCCTGTGAGACCCCTGTAGTTCTTCTCAAATCTCTTTCCAACTGACTGACAAAACAGGATGTGCAAATCAATGCCCAGAAAGCTAGCAACCAGGTACTAAGACCTCTACCAGCACCATCATTAAGAAAGATAAATGTCTCCAAGAGCCTGCCTCATAATGCCATAGTCTGCCTTTTTTGGGTAGAACCTTAATCACATTCAGAACTCTGATTGCATAGAATTTAGCTCTACAGTATTGGAAGACTCACTAGAAGGATGTTGGAATGCATCTTGTGAGCCCATTCATGAGATGCACCATGAAACTTAACTAAATTCACCTTGACGTGAGACAGTCAACAAAGATATACATTTTATCACCTCACAATACCAGCTGTGTGCATTTGGACACTAGGGGCGGCGGAGCCTGGTGGGCTGTCATCTATGGGGTCGCAGATTCGGACACGACTAAAGCGACTTAGCATCAGCAGAGCCTCAACAGCCTCCTTTATCAAATTGAAGATAATGATATTCGTCTTCAAAGGTTCTTGGGGAGATGAAGTTAAATAACATGACATGACAGGCATTCAGTAACTGAAGCATCAGCCAATCAGTGAACACCATTCTGCAACCTGCAGAGCAGTGGTCCCCAGCCTTGATGACAACAGGGCCTGGTTTCGTGGAAGACAGTTTTCCGTGGACTAGGGGGTGGTGATAGTTTCAGAATGATTCAAGGGCATTGTATTTACTGTGTACTTTGTTCCTGTTATTACATCAGCTCCGCCTCAGATCATCAGGCATTAGATCTCAAAGGTTGGGCACCCCTGCTATGGAGGCAGTGGAATCCCTTAAAGATGGATATTAAATAAAGATTACTGCTAAAAAGACTTAATGGCCCAAATAGATGTGGCCCTTGTGTCAGTCCAGTGGGATTGGATGAGCATATTTTACCCTAGAAAAGTAAATGGGATTTGGTTGTGTACTGTTTCAGATATTTGTTTGTGTTAAGTTTAAAAAAATAATGCATCCACGTAAATAATGGAAAGAAAATCCTTCTCCTTCAGTCTGTCAAGTTTCCTTCTTGAAATACCCCATGCATATAAACACACATGTGTCCTCTAGATTCTTCCCTTTTCTCCTTAAAAAAATTGGGTCATACTATATGCCTCTCTGCACCTATATTTATTTATTTACCCACTACCTTGAAGATCAATCCATTTCAGTTCATGTAGAACCAATCACCCATTGACGGCAACCAGTTGTTTGCCTTCTTTTGCTTTTACAAAATTTGCTCTGCCGAACATCCATTCTTGTTCATAAGTGACTATTATATCTGTAGAATTAATTTTAAGATGTAGAAAGACTAAGTCAAAGGTTAAATACTGTGTATAATTTTACTGATATGACCAAATGAGTCTCCAAACACTTATACTAGGGCTTTGCTGATCCTGTGTGAGCTGCATTTGCACCTACATCCTTGTCAACAGTGTATCATCAACCCTTTTGATTTTTGCCAGTGAAATAAGGGAGGTGATACCAGAGTAGATCAAGAGGAATCCTGACCAAGAGACAGAGGTGAGGGATTAATTCGAAGATAAGAGGTGAGAGAAGGTAGAATTTAAATATAAATTTAGAAAGGAAACTCATAACCTTCTGCCACTTACCGTATGACAGGCAGTGACCCGACGAGGCAACGTACCTGCTGTTACATTCGATCTTTATAGCCATGTGAACTCATAAACACTGTCATCTCCCATTTCACTCTGATGCCCAGTCTCTGTCCACTACACTTCCTGTGTCCTTATTTCACAGTTGAGGAAACTAAGGCCTAAAGAGGTTAAGTGATGTATCCCAGATTTCAGCGAAGTTAAGTCAGGATAAGGGTTCCACTTTCCAGCTTCATGTACACTGCATTAGGCCAGGATTCTGGCCTGTACCATTGAAGCTGCAAGGGATCTGAATATATTTTCAGGGTGTATTTCATCCACGGTTTAATAGTTGAGTTTTGAATTCAATCGTTTCCTATAGTAGAAGAAATTCTGTAATAGTTGAGTGGACATGATCTTAAATACACTAATATTTTTCATGTTAGTAATAAATTCTTCCTCAGAGATTCTCTGTTCCTTTTCATAAAAACTACTATATTTACCCAAGGAGCATTCTTGACAGAAGCTCCATGAGATGAAAGCTCTAAGCTTCTTGGGATTTTAAGATTTTCTGATAAAAGATTAAGCAGCCCCTCTTGAATTCTACCCTTAGTCCTTTGGAATTTTAAAATTGGCCTGTAAATCCTTCTTAAAACACCCTTAGAGACTGAGACTGGCACCTGTGCCCTCTTCCTTATTGTTTCCTATTACTTCAGAGTTCAGGATCACTGAGATTAGAAGGTTTAGCTAGAATTTCCTCATTTCCCACTTGTTTGCAGAGTCCAGGATCTCTTCTGTGTATCTGGGCAGTTTCCACTTGAATCAGAAGTGGGAGACTGCAGACATTCATATTTAATGAAGATAAGAAGCATTCAATTAAAGCATGAAGTCTCATTGAGGAGATGACTCTTAAATGGCACAGAAATTTGGTTAATCATCCCTATTGGAAGGGTGGGACGATGTTTGAGAACATGATGAAAAGATGGGAAATAAAAATAAACTCTTTATCTGAAAAAAGTAAGCTGAGCCAATGACCTCTGTTTTTTTAAATTAAGAAGGCCTAACTTTGGAATTGTCCTAATTGGAAAATATCCTGATCATGGTCATTCTTTTACAGTAGGGCAGTGGTGTTCTAGCAGTCGAGCAATAGACCCTTAATATATTTGCCCAAAGCAAGGACAGTATAAGTGTTAAAGAATGGAATCTGAGAGCTGTAGTGATCTTAGACATGAACTAGCCTGAAGTCCAGTTTTATAGACAATGAAACTGAGGCATAGTAAGTATATGCAGTTTATTCAAGAAGACATTTTTGGTGACTGTAAGCCAAATCTAGAACCAAGCTCTCCTGCACTAGCTCGTTGCATGATTTAATGTCCATTATGTGATCCATATTTCATAATCTAGTGAAAGAATGTGATTGTTTGGGATTGTGTTTGGTTTTTTAGAATGTACAGGGATTTATTTTTACAACTATCCTAAACCTAATTGTTTTTAACTAAAGAAAGGGGTACATAACTGAGAGGACTAATCTGTTAAAGAAATTGTTAAGATAAAGGCAATTAAGCTATTTTCACACAGGAAGCTTAGCTGATAAGACATGTAATCTTTTGTTTTAGAAATTCTGCTTTTAGTTTTGCAACACATGAATAAGGGCTATGTATTTATACTGTCTACTGAAGTCAGGAAACAAACTAGGTAGTGTTTTCTTTGCAAATGATAAACTGCTTAGGACTTGTTTCAAATTAATTATATATGTAATCTAACAAGGTCTTTCATTGTACATTTGTCAGAGCAAACAAAATGCAATGTGTTTTTATAACCAGATAGCCATTTGATTTTTTTTTTTCTTTCCCACATTTGGATATAGATTGATATAGAATTACTTAAAATGCTGCATATAAATTAAACATTAAAAAGGAGATAGGGAGAGCCTAGGCTGCCTCATTATAATCTTTAGTTCTGCAGTCACTGCCTGAAGGACACTCATTTCATATCACATGTCCTTCTTTTGAAAAGTGATCACCAAGGTTCAAGTAACATTTAAGCATGGCCAGCAACTGCATGATTTATGGATTTTTTTTTTTTTTTTGGTTTAATGTTCTTATTTTAATGAAAAACCAGGAAAACGAAGATTTTTCATACATTACCTCTCTCTTGTCCTTCCCTCCTGCCTTTGCAGATCGGGGCCTTGAAGGATTACTACCACTTCCATCACAGCAGGACGATTAAAAGGTCAGTTCTCTCAAGCAGAGGAGCCCACAGTTTCATTTCAATGGAACCAAAGGTAAGAAGAACCAGTTGGGTGGGGACCAAGAGATAGATCTTCTGCATTTTTCATTGGTAACCTCACACTAGGAGCTGGTAACTAGCACGAAGGCTTAAATTTCAAGAGCGATCATGCTATCCTTTGGTCCAGTATCTTTGTTTCCTTTTCAGACCAAAAATAGGCAATGGTTTGATTTCTTATTGAAATGCCTGTATCAGCCTAGTTGTAGAACAGCCCCGGGCTATCAGAAATAGGAGTTGTCATAGAGAAATGAAGAGGGAGTATATGTGAGGGCAGATAGGGATGTATTCAGAAATAGTGAAGTGTTAAGGAGACCATACTTTCTGCATATTTGCATACAAATCTGAAGTTCTATCTGAGCTCCATAGAGGGGTCTCTTCTAGAAGCTTCAGGTCACTGTGATCCTTGCAGTTTCAGTTGGCAATAATAGAGCCAGTCCTTTGGGAGCCCAAAGACCAGACCATGGCCTAGACCATGTCTGAGACAGGAGAAATTCTGAGCACAGAATGGGTAGAAGCTGGCTACTTCTCTTGGGGGCTCATCAGAGATCTTTCTTCCATGTTGTCCTGACCCCAATCCTTTTGAGCTATATAGAAACCATAATCCTAGGAGAAGCTAGCAGGACATCTCTGTCTATGTCTAGATTCTCCCAGTCCATGTTGGTGGCAGTTCAGCTTTGAAATGAGAGATAGTAAGTGGTAGGGTTGTATTCGGGACAAATAGGCTGTAGTTAACTGGCCACTACAGATCTGGGGATGAGTTAACTGTCTATCCTTATTAAGTTGGAGGAAGGCATTGTCTCTGACAGAGAACCACTTGGCCTCCCAGATATGGCAAGTAAGGGGGAAGAGAGGACAGGGGTACCAGCCTGGTCATCTGTGGGTTCTTGTTTGTTATTTACTCATTAGGAAGTGTTGCTTTTTCCTCATTATGATTAGGGTTTACTGTATGAGCTCATTTTCAAATAAATTGGTCAGCAAGTCCCTATCATGAGCATAACAATCTCACCTAGAGATTCCTCAAAAATTATATTCCTTATTAAAGCAACAAGGTCCCTATTTGAATTAATATGCAAATCAGGTTTGCAGTTTGGAGTCCTGCCCTCGGTTATATGCCGCAGTTCGCCTTGTTTGATTTTTTTCTGGAATATTATCACACAGTGTTCATGATTGTAAAATTATATCTTGGTGGTTAGAAAAAACACTTTTGTCATAGGGCCCAATTTTCCATGGGTTAGAGGAACATCCCCTGATACTTAATACTCTGGCAGCCTGTGGATTATATAAATATATATATTTCCCCTTCATCTCTATTCAGAATTAAATGTTACTGGAAAAGCAATCTGTTAGGACGTTCTTGAATTAGCAAAGTTTTTGAAGCGGAGTCACGTTTTTCATCTGTTAACTTTTCCAAAGCTTTCTTGAACTTCAGTAATTTAAATGATTTTAATTTCAGACCTCACGCGCATAGACAATGTGAATTTGAAAATCCGAGTACTAATTGGTTTGGGAGGTTAGAACAGAAGACAACATAGAGCTGTTTCAATCCTTAATGTTTTCTTGGGGACGCTCAGTCTCCCCTTATCTCAGTGTATCAGATTGCGCATGCAGGACCCAGCCAAGAGACCTCGGATGCTGGGACGCGTAGTGCTCGGCGTGTTCATCCTTCCCCAGCCAGCCCAGAGAAGCAGGGCTGGTTCATGCCAGCCCCAGGGTACGTGCTCAGTTCCTCCTCCTGCTCAGCGAAAGGAGTAGCCCAGGGTCGGACTGTACCTTCCTCCTCATTCTGACACGCCTGCCCCTGTTTCCCACCCAGCTGTTTATACAAGAGATGCCACAATTCTACCAATTTTGCAGATGGAGGGCCCCAAATGGACAATTGCCCGCAGTTTTTTTCAGATATTTCTTCAAGTCTGATCATTCCTTCAACTGGCAATTTCTTGAGCCTCTGGGATATGCCAGCCCTGTGTTAGGCTCTGAGCATTTGTGGGTAGGGTGGTCCCCTTAGTGAGCTTGCTGCAGCCTCCCACATTAGCTTTCAGATGTAGCTTTTTTTAATTACAAGATGTTACAGTGCTTCTCAGTGTTGGGGATGGAGGAGCAAAGGAGATGGGGTCTCCTATATTCTTCCTCCTTCTCAGTTTCCTCCTCAAAAAGCTCAGGCCTGCTTAGCTTAAGTTTCCTTTTTAATTAAAAAAAAAACAACAAAAAACTTTATTACAGAGAAGTTGCAAAAGCATTATGAAAAATTCCTATGTTTGCTTTCCAGATTTCCCAAATGTTAACATTTTTTACATTTTATCATGCTTACTTGATCATTTTCTCTCTCCCCTCTATACACATGCAGGCACAGGTATGTATATAAGTTTCTTTTTGAAAATTTGGGTGCAAATTGCAGACACAATGCCCCTTGAAATACTTCACTGTGTATTTACTAAAACCAAGGACATTTTTGACACATAACCGGATGTACATTGGCTCATATTTTGGTAAAATCTGGATATTAACATTGATTCAGTATCACTATCTAGTTTACAGATTTTATTCATATCTTGCCAGTTGTCTTTTCTGAGCCAGGAGCACATCAGTTTTCATGTTCCCCAAGCCCCCTCGGTATAAACACTGTCATACTTTCATCTTCTTTTTGTTTTCTTTTTCCTTCCTTTCCCTTCTCTCCCCTTCTCTTTTCTTTGACGATCTAGAACTTTTGCAGAGTACTGACCGATTATTTTGGCGAATCTCTCAAGTTGGGCTTGTCTGATTGTCTGTGATTAGATTCAGGCTTGGCAAGAACCCGAGAAGTGCTGTGTTCTTCCCAGTGTATCAGATCAGGAGGTACATGGCATTGATGGGTTTCATTACCCTTGATTTTAACTTTGGTCACTTGGTGAAGGTGGTATCTGCCAGTTTTTTTAATTTTAAAAATAGTTTTCCTCCCATCTAATTAATAAGTGTTTTGTGGGGAAAGACTTGGAGACTATGTAAATGTCTATTGGCTGACTATATTTTTTCACTCGCAGCAGACCTCATGGGGAGTATAACGTATCAGTGTGACATGGTTTCTAGGCAGATCTCCTCTTCTTTAATCTTGGGTATGTGTGTGGTAGGTGCTTGGTGTGCCAGCGTTGGAGGCACTTTTATGATTAGGAGATGGCCCATGTGAAATGGCTTGGTGGAAAACATTGGTGATGCATGAAGTTATTTTTGTTCATCATCTTCTCCAGAGTAGGAAAACACACATGGGTGAATTGCAAGGAATACATACACTCAACAGTTCCTAGCTTTTACTTGCTGGAGTAAATTGCATGGCTCCTTCTCCCTGCTATCGTTTTTACTTAGAGGGTTCTAAAGAAGGATATGCAAAAGTAGCAATGTTGTAAGAATAACCCTCTTGGTGCTAAGAAAATGCTGTGGTCAGTTGGGGCACATGAGTGCGGAGAACAAGAATAGACTGGATTCCCATATGTTAACAGTATGTTATGATTAGCTTTCAAATGACAGGGATCCACAGACTTCTAAGATGGCATTGCTATACAATAATAACACAGTTTGGCGAAAAGTGCTGGTACAGTGTTATAGCAGTTGGAAGGGAGAGTCTTAAAATGTTCTTGACTCACCAACTTTTCTCCGAGAGACCTAGGTTAAATTTGAGAAACAGCAGTCTGGAGTTAACATTCCCAGAAGCCTCTCATTAATCTGCTTAGAAATCTTTGCCAGCCCTGTGGCATTTTGGTCAAAGAGGGAGTTACCTACAGGAGCTCTTGGGAATACAAGTTCTTTACACTTTACAGCTCTTTAGCTGCCCATGCAGATACAGGCGGAGGCAGAGGAGATACTTTTCTTTCATTCTTCTCCTCCTTCCCCTAACAGAAAGTCAGAATCCTACATTTCCCATTAGAGCAGGCTTTTAAAACCAAAAAATATAAACTGTTACTCAGTGAGACCCCATGACCTCTCCAAGTATAGTTAATATACAAGCACAACCTCTGCCTTTGCCCATTAGATTTTATCTTGAAGATATTGGCCTTCCAATCTCTTATCTTTTCTAATCCCTTTTCTGTCTTCAAATATAAAGATCAATTTTTATCCAAATCTGCTCATGCAGAAGGTAATACTATCCTAGATTTGGATAAAAACTGATCTTTCCCAAAGTTCATCTTATCCATCGTATTGCATGGGTGTTGTATGGCTGTGTATCTCAAATACAGAAAAACTATTAACATCGTTTTATTTACTGTTCAGTCACAGGCTCCTTAGAGTAAGACTTCTCTCTTTCTTATTAAGTAGCTGGCATACCTTCCATCATATTCCTATGAGGATCAGTTTCAGATCTGTTAAACATGCCCAATGACAGAAAGCTGAGTAATGGACAAGGCAAACATTTCTATAATTGAAGAGATTTAACATGTTGAGCTAACATCCGCTTGCATGTAACTTCTACCCGTAGGATCTACTTTTCCCTTCTAGATTTACACATGACGGCTCTTTATATATTTGGAGCCCCTCACTTAGTCATCTAGAACTGCACTTGTCCCTCTGTCAGTGTGGCCCAGAATTAAGTTCAAAGCTTTAGCTTACAGAGAAATTGCTCCTTTGTTGCATTTATACAGAAGCCATTTCCTCTGAAGGGAATTTTAGAGCAAGGCATTCAAACTTTATATAATGACAGCTAAAGGAGTGTAGGAAAAAGACAAGAAGGGAGAATGAAGTAACTAGAGATAGTTCGCAAGATCAGATGAAATCAAACCTGTGAAGGGAGAAAGGTAAATTCAAATTCCTGGCTAATCCCCGTTGGCACCCATTGTATCCAGGATTTGATTTTCAGATGATAGGAATTTTTCTTTTTGCCTCAAGGGTGAAGACCATGTGATGTCCCAGTCATCTCACTACCCTCTGCCCCTCTTAGTGTCTAGATGCCTGTTCTCTGGGTCTGTGTCTTTATTTCTGTTTTGCAGACAAGATCATCTATACCATTTTTCTAGATTCCACATATATGCA